CATATTTGATGAATACCAAGAGATTGCCTCTTCCAAAATCACTCATACTCCCTCTACTGCTCAACATCTAGGAGTTCTTCCTCTGTCCACCGTGACTCCATCCGCCACTGCTGCTAAGGATGAGCCTCAGCAAAATGATTCTTCCAATGCTACTGAGGATAGAACTCAGCAGAATGATTCTGTCATTCAGCTTGATTCTCCTCCTCGTGAGGATGGAACCGCCAACAATGATGAGGGGATCATTCAGCACCATCAAGAAGCTGACGGGGCAAATGCTTCTAGTTAGAACCTTTCTGATATATCGACCTCCTTCCTTTTTGCACTTTTGTCATCTATATACCTCATTTTTTGTAACTCGAAAACTTCATTATTAATGAGATGGCTGACTTTTGGTTGAACTTTTGCTAAAAATCCCTTTACTTAATGATTTAATGCTATCTGATCTGATTTTTCTCTGTATGTCAGTGGGTTTCTCTCTGTATGTCAGTGGTTAGTGTTCGGCTAGTGTGCCACTTTGCCACATTTTTTTTTTTTCCTCAAGTTTTTGGCGTTCGGCTCACAGTGCAACTGCCACTTACTTTGCTGAAGTTGGCGCTAGGCTAGAATGCCACTTGCCACTTTCACTCTTGTACTTTTTGGCAAATTTTTGGCGTTCGGTTCATAGTGCCAGCTGCCACTTACTTTGCTGAGTGGTTAGCACTCGGCTAGAATGCCACTTGCCACTTTCACTCTTTTACTTTTTGGCAAGTTTTTGGCGTTCGGCTCATAGTGCCAGCTGCCACTTACTTTGCTGAATGGTTGGCGCTCGGCTAGAATGCCACTTGCCACTTTCACTCTTTTACTTTTTGGCAAGTTTTTGGCGTTCGGCTCATAGTGCCAGCTGCCACTTACTTTGCTGACTGGTTGGCGCTCGGCTAGAATGCCACTTGCCACTTTCACTCTTTTACTTTTTGGCAAGTTTTTGGTGTTCGGCTCATAGTGCCAGCTACCACTTACTTTGCTGAGTGGTTGGCATTCGGCTAGAATGCCACTTGTTACTTTCACTTTTTTACTTTTTGGCAAGTTTTTGGCGTTCGGCTCATAGTGCCAGCTACCACTTACTTTGCTGAGTGGTTGGCGCTTGGCTAGAATGCCACTTGCCACTTTCACTCTTTTACTTTTTGGCAAGTTTTTGGCGTTCGGCTCATAGGCCAGCTACCACTTACTTTGCTGAGTGGTTGGTGCTTGGCTAGAATGCCACTTGCCACTTTCACTCTTTTACTTTTTGGTAAGTTTTTGGCGTTCGGCTCATAGTGCCAACTGCCACTTACTTTGCTGAATGGTTAGCGCTCGGCTAGAATGCCACTTGCCACTTTCACTCTTTTACTTTTTGGCAAGTTTTTGGCGTTCGGCTCATAGTGCTAGCTACCACTTACTTTGTTGAGTGGTTGGCGCTCGGCTAAAATGCCACTTGCCACTTTCACTCTTTTACTTTTTAGCAAGTTTTTGGCGTTCGGCTCATAGTGCCAGCTGCCACTTACTTTGCTGAGTGGTTGGCGCTCGGCTACAATGCCACTTGCCATTTTCACTCTTTTACTTTTTGGCAAGTTTTTGGCGTTCGGCTCATAGTGCCAGCTGCCACTTACTTTGTTGTTTTCATACACTCAACTTTTCAGAAGAAGATAGCTTTTTATAAATTTCAGAATTCTGTACAACTGAAAATGAATAATACCAGAATTAAAACTTTAAACTTTCTACAGATAATACCTTTTTAAAGATGTAGCATTCCATGGCTTATTATCCAACCTTCCAGCCATGGTCTCTAGTATATATGCCCCCTTCCCTATGACTTCTACAATTCTGTATGGTCCTTCCCAAGGTGACATCATCTTTTTAACCATTCCTACCTTCTTCTTCAGAACCAGATCGCCAAGTGTGAAATCTCTGTGCTTCACCCTTTTGTTGTGGCTGCTAGCAAGTGTCTGCTGATAGGATGCAAGCCTTATTGCCGCAACATCTCTTTTTTCCTCTAACATATTAAGGTTAAATCTCAGCATTTTGTCATTCTGTTCCTGATTCCATGTTAAGTTTTTGACAGTTGGAACTAAATATTTAACCGGTATGACTGCCTCAGTTCTGTATGCCATGGCGAATGGGTTTTCCCTTGTCGGCCGTCTAGGGGTCGTTCTGTAAGCCCATAAGACGTTCGGGAGTTCGTCCAGCCACTTCCCTTTATGGTCTTCCAGTTTCTTCTTGATACAAGCGAAAATTGTTCTATTCATAATTTTTGCTTATCCATTGGCCTGGGGATGACTTACTATTGCCAACTTTTAGTTAATTCCATATTCTTCCAGCAATTCTCTGACTTGCTTGCTGTCGAGATTAGTCCCATTATCCATAACGATTGACGTCGGAACACCAAAACAGTAAATAATATTACTCCAGATGAAGGGTCTTACATGGGTTTGCGTTACACTCGGATATGGCTCTGTTTCCACCCATTTGGTAAAGTAATCTGTTGCCAACAATACATACTTGTTCTGAGCTCTTGCAGTTGGCAAAGGACCAACCACATCCATCCCCCATTGTGCGAAAGGCCATGGTGTGGCTATCACGTACAAGTCCTCAGGTGGTTGGGGGATTAATGGTCCGAACCTTTGGCACTTATCGCATCTTCTGGAGAATTCTTCCGCATCTCGTGACATGTTCGGCTAGAAGTACCCTTGCGTCATTACTTTGTGCACTAAAGATCTTCCCCTTGAATGATTTCCACACACACCTTCATGAATAGCCCGCAATATTTGCCGAGCCTCTGTGGGGGTAACGCACTTTAAGTACGGCCCAGAAAAAGACCTCCTGTATAACTGGTTATGCACTATAGTGTACTTTGCAGCGTTCGATTTGATTTTCCTAGCCTTATCTCTTTGCTCAGGCAGAGTACTGTCCCGAATATAAGTTATGATCGGATCAATCCAACTTGGCTTATATGGAATAACATTCACTTGCCAAGGATCTGGGCCCGAAGGTTCTTCAAAAATGGAGGGCTGGTTCAGTATTCCTACTGGAATCACCCTTGCCAATGTCTCTACAGAACCCGAGGCGCTACATGCTAGCCGATCGGCATCTTCGTTATGCTCTCTCGGTATTTGGATGAATTCAATTTTTTCAAAGTTTCTGACTTCTCGCATAATAGCAGAATGATATGCTTCCATCGTTTCATCTTTGGTTTTATATTCGCCATTCACCTGCCGGACAATTAACTGCGAGTCACTAAAGACGGTCAAATTCCTGACCTTCAGCTCTTTGGCGATCTTAAGTCCAGCTAGTAGTGCCTCATATTCTGCTTTTTGTTAGTGGCTTTGAATTCAAGCCAGAGCGCTTAACTTAGGGACATGCCTTCTGGTGTCTGCAATTTGACTCCAATGCCTGCCCCCATCTGATTTGAGGATCCATCGACAAAGAGTTTCCACAAGCAACCTCGAAGGTCTTCCTCCATGTCTTCTGAATCACATTCCAGTAAGAAATTTGCCACTGCTTCCCTTTGACTTCCGTTCTGGGTTCATATGTTATGTCAAATGAGCTTAACTCTATGGCCTACTTCGCCATCCTCCCTGAGAGGTCTGGCTTGTGCAGGATTATTCTGATAGGGAAAGTGGTTAGAACAATGATAGGATGGGATTCAAAATAATGCTTGAGCTTTCTTTTCGCATGTACTAGCGAGAGTATCACCCGTTCGGCCTTTGAATAACGTCGTTTGGCCTCAGTCATCGTTTTGCTAACATAGAACACTGGATATTGCTTTCCCTCTTTACAACGGATCAGAACGCCACTTGTTGCGATGCTAGATACCCCGAGGTATAAAAACAGTTTTTCTCCTGGTTTGGGAGCTGACAGGACCGGAAGGTTTTGCATATATTCTTTCAAACCAGTTAATGCTCGGCACTGTTCATCCCCCAAACTTGTCTCCCATGGCTTCGTATTGTGTCAAAAAATGGTTTGCAATGATCTGACAATTTGGAAATGAACCGGCTTAATGCAGCTATCCGACCCGTAAGTGCTTGCACTTCTTTGATTGTCTTCAGCTCGGCATTCTTAGTCAGAGCTTCTGTTTGGGCAGGGCTAGCTTCTATGCCTCTATGATTAACCACGTGTCCCAGGAACTGACCAGAACTCACGCCGAAGGAGCACTTGGTTGGATTGAGCTTCATTCCATATTGTCTCAACACATCAAATACGTCTTATAGATATTTTAGATGGTCAACTTTCTTCTTACTTTTTACTACCATGTCATCAATGTAGGCTTCCACAGTCTTCCTTATTTGATCCTTGAAAATTTTGCTAATAAGCCTTTGATAAGTTGCTCCGGCGTTCTTCAGTCCGAACGGCATAACTTTGTAGCAATAGGTCCCTCGTTCGGTAACGAAAGAAGTTTTCTCTTCGTCAGCAAGGTCCATGGGGATCTGATTATAACCTGAATAAGCATCTAAGAAGGTTAAACGCTCATACCCAGTAGTAGCATCCACCATTTGATTAATCTTGGGCAGCGAAAAGCTATCCTTCGGATAGGCTTTATTCAAATTGGTGAAGTCAATGCACACTCGCCATTTCCCATTCTTCCTCTGCACAACAACAACGTTTGACAACCAGTCGGGATATTACACTTCTCTTATGAATCCCGCATCAAGCAGCCTATCAACCTCCTCGGCTATGATCCGGTTACGTTCTGGAACAAACCTTCGCTGCTTCTGCTTTACAGGTCTTGCATTGGGATTAACGTTCAGGGAGTGACAGGATACCAAAGGGCTAATTCCAGGCATGTCTAAGTGACTCCATGCAAATACATCGGCATTGTGAGATAAGAAATCAATTAATTCCTGTTTTTCCCTCTCGGTGAGTCTTACTCCCGCTCGAGTAGTTCGCTCTGGCCTAAATTGATCGATCTGTACATCAATAAGGGGTTCTTCTGTCAAGTCCACTGGCTCATCCTCCCCATTCTACTTGGGTGGAGGCTTCTGTAATTGCTATTTCGGGCTCGCCGATCGGACAGGTGCTTTTCCTTTCCCAGCGGATTTCAGTGTCACTGAATAACATTCCTTAGCTGCAACTTGGTCCCCATGAATGTCAATCACCTTGGTGCCGTCTAGCCCCAAGTATCGCATTACTTGGTGCAGAGTGGAAGGAACACCTTGAACTCTGTGGGTCCACCATCTGCCCATCAGAAGGTTGTAAGAAGGATGGATCTCGACAACCACAAAGCTTTCCATCAGAACCCTCTCTGTAGTATGCACTGCTACTTCCACCATACCGATGGGCTCCGCTCTTTTTCCATCAAACCTTAGCAAAGGATTCCAAGTGGGCTTGAGCCGGTCTGGCTTGATCTCGAGCTGATCAAATGTGTCCCTCGGCATGACGTTCGCACTACTTCCAGGATCAATCAGAACTCTGCGTACCAAACATTCGGCCACTGTCAAACTGACGACTAACGGATCTTCATGAGGAATCTTAACGCATAACAAGTCAGTTCTGTCAAACTTGATTTGCGTTGATGCGTTCTGCTAATACAGAATGTTTACACTGCCTATCCTCCTCTTCATCTGTGCTTGGCGGAGGCGCGCTCTAAGCAGTTCTTCTGACTCTTGAGCCAGTTCGGGCTGACCATGAATCACATTGATTATGCGAACTGGTTGCAAGTTATGGGAGCTCGGCTTCTGATTCCTTTTTACTTGTTCTATTGGTCAGTTCTGTTCCACCGCCGTGCCTTGGATATAACTTGCGAACTCCCCTCTGGCTATCAGCATCTCTACCTGCCTCCTTAAGTTATTGCATTCATTAGTCTGATGGCCAAAGTCAGAATGGAAAGCACAATGCTTAGACTGGTCCCTCTAGTCGAAGGGCTGTCTAATAGGTAAAGGAGGTCGGAACTTATCTTTTTTTTCTTGGTACAGCTTTGCCAGTGTGACTTTCAGCGAAGTATCCAGCTCTTCCTCTCTGGGCCTCTTCTCAGCTTTCCAAGAGGTTTGACGCTGTGGCTAAGCCTGCTTTTGCCTAATTTTTGCTTTGGTTTTTTCTTCTGTTGTTATTATGGACATCTTCCGAGCGTTAGCTGTTTCTTCTTCTTCTAAGCGTACAAAACCATCAGTTTTTTAATTCAGCTCGTCCATGGTCTGTGGCGTGTTCACCACCAGACTTGTGTGGAACGGAGTCCCACGAATTATGGCCAGCTTGAATGCCTGAACCGCCGTGAACGGATGGCACTCGATCACCATGCTCTTGGTTAAATTGAATTTAGTAAGAAAAGCTTGGAGGCGTTCATCTTCATGTTGCCGCATCGTGAACAGACTGGAGACATCTTTTGCCGGGCACTTATTCCCATAGTACTGGTTGATGAACCGATCGCAAAAGCTTCGAAAACTATCAATCGAGCCCCTCGGTAAGTTTTTGAACCAATTGAGTGCTGGTCCAGCTAAGCTTGTTGGAAAACATCTGCACATTAAGGAGTCGTTCTCCGTGTTCAGAGCCATTTTCAATTGGATATGATATACATGATCGATTGGATCAGTCGTTCCATCAAACAAGATGAAAACTGGCATTGAGAATTTCCTCAGACTCAGAGCATTTAGAATTTCATCGGTAAACGGCGAGTCAACCGTCCGAGCTGCTGAATGAAGGGCCTCATTCTCTCTATGGAACCTTGCGGTAGCTCTCTGATCCGTAGATCTCCTTTCTGAGCTTCGGTAATCTAACGTAGCCATTGAAGGTCGATAGAGCGAATCGGACGATCTTTCCTCTATGTATTCCTTCCGCCAGATCGGTGTAGTTTTGTGATGTCCAAACTCCACAGCTTCTTCTCGGTTGAACCTCTTCTAATACGGATTAAAAGTCATTGCCTCGTTCCGCCTGATCTGCTCACGCCTTGGATCTAACTAAATTGAGCTTTCTCGATCATCAAAACGACGAGGATTTGGCGGCAAATCATCTGGCCTAACCTCCTTATGACGAGGATTTGTCAGATTGTTCTCATCCTCTTCACCTTGACACGCAACAACAGGATGCATAACCTCTTCACCCGCCGGAAGTGATTGCAGAATCGCCGGAGCTTCTTAGCGCTGCATCCCAGCTTTCAACTCTGCATTCTCTTTCCTGAGAACTTCGATCATGTTCATCAACTCATCAAGCTTCATCTGCTGGACATTCTCCACCGGATTGGAGCTCTCGCCTCCTATCATGATTTCGGAGCGAAGCAAAGGCATGAATCATAAGATCTTAATCAAATCTGAGCTTTACTGATGCAAATCTCGTCGGATCTGGACTCAAATTCACCCAATCGTGATCACAGTTCGCTATATATGAGCTTTTCTAGCTTTTAACTCATTGGATCTAGCTGCGATCAAGCAAATCTCAGCTGCGTAATTCCAACGCAAACACGTCAAAACCAACAGTAATCAAGAATTCCTTCAGAAAAAACTGCAATCTCTCCGATCTGGATTCAATTTCTAGAAATCTTTCTTCGTCTTCACGGATCAGTTTGAATTAACATGACATCGATCAAGCATAAATGAATGTTCTTCATCGTTTCCCACAGTCGGCGCCAATTGAAGATGCAAAGAATTAACTCTCTCTATTTTAACAGAGTCTCATTACATTTTCAACAAAAATTCCCCTTACATTCTCTCCCTCCTGCCTATTTATAGGCATTTACAAGTGCTATTAGCATGCTATAAGTGATTCCCTAAGTTGGGTCCCTCGACCTCAGGATTCATTCCTTACGGGCCTAGCTCTTCTCGGAAGATCCCATGCATTCGGCCCATTCCGCAACGTCATCGTATGGGCTGAATCCAGTTTCTCGGCCCGATCCTCTTCTCGTGAGTCATATCCGGCCCATGTCACTTCCGGAATCCTCAAAAATGTAGCATCCTTAATTTAAAAAAGAACAGTTGTGAAAAACATACCTATCTTTTTTCGAAATTACTCATCACATTAAGCTTTTTCTGCTGCCAACAAGTAAATCAAGAATTTGGAAAAAATAAAAAATAAAAAGTATTTTTATTCATGAGTTAAGCTAGCCTCCTAATAATAAGGATATATAACATATTAATAACAAGAATAACCATAAAGTCGTAAAAACAATCATGTCTTTATAAACCTTAAAACGCCAATTAAAGAAAGAAAAAGAACATGAATAGTAGTGAAAGTAACTAACCTTGAGTACTAAGAGGCATATTGCTAGATCACTAGAGCCAAAATGCCATAGGAATGATAGATCAAAAACATGGATAGTGAGCGAGATAGAGAGATCAAGCAGATAACGATAAATATAGAGATAAATCAGACCAATTTCTTACCAAAATGTAGAGAAAGAAAGAGATATAGAGAGATCAAGAGAGAAGGATAGAGAGAGAGTGCAAAATACATTGGAAATTTTAGGTTTAACAACTCAAACCTAACATTCAAAAACTAGAAAACTTACCAACCCAAACCCATATTAAAATTTTATGCTGAACACACTAACAAACATAAATTCAAGAAATATGATGAACTTAGCGAGTCAATTGAATATCGAAAAAACGAAATCTAGAGAGACCTTGCAAAGACGGAAAAAGAGTATCTGTCGGCCTCAACTGTACATATGTCAATGCATGCACAAATCAGGCACATTACTCCTACAAATGAGTTTCAAAATAATTTCAAATACATGATAAAAACAACAAATACAATGTAGCATCCTTAATAATTTTTTTTTAAAAGTTCTGAAAAACATACCTATCTTTTTTTTTAAATTACTCATCCCATTGAGATTTTTCTCCTGCCAACAAGTAAACCAAGAATTTGAAATATAAAAAAAAAAAAATTGAGTATTTTTATTCATGACTTAAGCTAGCCTCATAATAATAAAGATATATAACATATTAATAACAAGAATAACCAAACAGTCGAAAAAATAAACATTTCTTTATAAACCTTAAAACACCAATTAAACAAAGAAAAAGAATATGAATAGTAGTGAAAGTAACTACCTGAGTACTAAGAGGCATATTTATAGATCACTAGGGCCAAAATGCCACATGAATGATAGATCAAAGACAAAGATAGTGAGCGGCATAGAGAGATCAAACAGATGATGATATATAGAGAGAGATCTCTTACCAAAATGTAGAGAAAGAAAGGGAGATAGAGAGATCAAGAGAGAATGTGGGATAGAGAGAGAGTTAAATAGATTGAAAAACTTAGGTTTAACCAATCAAACTTACCATTGCGTCATCTCCCTCTCCCAATGTGATAATGATGGTAGAAGAAGGTTTGTTCAGCATGCCCATGTCTAATTAGCAAATAAAATCAGAATTAACATTACAAAATTTTAAAATTTAATGATTTATTACGTATTGAATTATATCTGAATATTTTGATACAAAAAGATAAGAATAATAAAAAATAAAAAATAAAAAATAAAAATAATCATACCTAAATGCAGGGCGGAGCCAATTTATGCTCAAATGGGGCCCCCTTGGCTTGGCCCCGCAACTATATTATTATAGTTATTTTCTTAATTTTTTACATATAAATGAAAATTTGTATATAATCCCTTCCTAAAATTATTTTAGTTCCTTAAATTTTCTTTAATTTTTCCTTATTTTCCTCTTTCTCTCTTAAAATTTCTTTAATTTCCTTAAAAATGTAAAATTTTCCTTCTGTTTTTTCTTTCTAAAGTTATTTCATTCTTCTTTCCTTTTTTCTTCTTGTTCTGCTACCTAAAATTCTTCTTCTTATTATTCTTATTTTCTTTTATTATTATTATTTTTTTGCACTATGCCCCTCCTAAATTAAAATCCTAGCTCTGTCCCTGTCTAAATGTAACAGGTCCGAGTTTATGATTATATCTCTGTATGTTCTTTAACTTCATAACTCGTGGAATATCTTTAATGAATTAAATCTGTCGATGATTTTTTTTAAAAAAAATAGTCAGGTTAGGTAATATCTTTAATGATTTTTAGTTTGATCATGACTCTTTACTAAATAAAAAATATACTTTTAGAATAGTAATTCCAATTAATATTGGCAGCCATATATCTTTAATGATTTTTTGTTTTGTTTGATTATACTCCCTATACCTTTAATAAATATAAAAATATACTTTTAGTATAGACAATGCCAATGAATATCCTCAGCAGCCAATTATCTTTAATGATTTTTTGTTTGATTATGACTCTTTAATATATATATATAAACAACCAAAGACTTCCAGTGAATTGTCTTCTTTCTCTGAGATTCAAAGACTCCAGAACCTCCTGGAGTGTGGCTGCTGATTGGAGACTACCAAGTGTGGTCATTGATAACAATAGTGCTACTGCTCTGCGTGTTGTGCTCTCCTGTGTTTTGGTTTCCTCTATGTTCTTGTATGGAGGCCGGATCC